TTTGGATCTTTTTATTTTGTATTTATTATTGTAATTTTATCATTTTAATTGACTTTAATTGTTTTGTAAACCGCCCAGTCATTTAACGAGATGGGTGGTGACAAATTCGATAAATAAAATAAATAAAAATTATTTCAAAATAAAATAAAATAACAAAGTTGTATAAAAAAAATTGCCAAAATCTCAGACATAAAATGTTAAATTCATACTGTATATATATAATATATAATGTCCCCAAATCTAAAAATATTATCTATCTATACTTCAGTAAAAATTAGCAGGATAATTAAATATTTTTAAAGCTTTTGAGTCATTACAAAATCTTTTTGATTTTTTTTTTTTTTTAGTATTTTGAGTGGTAATATATTTAATGAAAGTATTTGCTGATTAATCTAAGTTTGGACCTTGTACATTGGCAGCCTCTAAAACTCCTAAATTATTGGGCATTTATAGAAGTTTTTGGCAGAGTCCAGATCTGCTATTCAGCTATTTAAGCAACTGAAGAATAGGATTGCTAAGAATTGATAACCTACAAGAACTTTGGAATAAAGAGTCTGAACACACTACCTAAACAAATCAGTGGTCTTGTATTTTAACATCAGGCATACCTTATGAGCTTGTGATAAATTCATCAAAAACAATTTTTCACGTTATTGGACATTCCAGCAGTTTTTAAGAAATGTTGTCTGTCATATTTTTTATACCTGAGTGTAATAAATTTGAAGTAACTTTCATACCCATGATTTGAATTTGCATTTTGTCCCATTTTGGTTTAATATCTGTACTTTTATCATTATGTATTGAGAAGAGAATTAATATTTAAATATGTGAATGTATTGCTTAACTACAGTAAGTACTGAAAAATTGAAACTTGTCACTCTATGAGGAATTCTGGGCATATCACTCTTGGGTGTAGTAAAGAAGATAATAATAATGTGCAGCTGGAAAGAAGCTACAACCTCAGGGATAAAATTCTGGCTTAAACAAATGTGTACACTTTCAGCCTTTAAAATTATCTTTCACAGATATAATGGAAAGACTGAGCAACATGACTCTGTGGTCAAAGTTTGATTTGTTGTTCAAAATAAGTATTAAAGGAACTTAATTAGGGAATATTTTTGCCTCTGGTATCAAAATATACTTGGCAGTCCCTGATGAAAAACATTTCAAATAACAGGGAAAAAGCACTCTAATTATTAAATAGTATACCAAATAAGAGCTATACATGTATACTGTAGTGACTAAATTATATACGATATTTCTTAGGCATGAGGCAAAAACTTAGTTACTACTGGAAATGATTCTAAAGCAGTTGTCCACTATTTAAAGTCATGATACTTCATGATACTATTTTACTACCTTATCAACTTTAAATACTTACCCCTTTGTACGTCGTTTCTTCATTTCGGAAGATTCCTTGAGTTTTGACACACCTTTGGAATCAACCTTTGAAAAAAATATAATCAATTTATACATATCTGCATACAAGGAGTTTGGAAAATCTCCTTTATCTTAATATATCATATCTACTTATGAACTATCATCAATTACTCATCCAAATAAATATTGTAAGATGATCTTTAAATTTCATTTTGGTAAAGAATATTAATTCTGAATCCTATAGTACTGATTATTTATGAACAAATTAATATAAGATGCCTCCATTTGAATGCTGTTAAGGATTCAGCTTTCTCCCCTATTTAAATGTTTTTAGAACATAATACATCAAATTATTCAATGTTATAAATGAATTTAAAAGTTTGATTTTCAGATATTTGAAAGAAGGATTTCTTTTCTTCCTTCTTCTTAATAAGAAGAGGTTATTAAAGAAGAGGTTAGGAGAGTAATACCTTCTTGTACACTACCTAGAGTTGCTTGGATAAAGGGAGATGGGTGGCTAATAAACTGAGTAAATACAGTGGGGCAAAAAAGTATTTAGTCAGCCACCAATTGTGCAAGTTCTCCCAC